ATGATAGACTGCTATATTATTATTTGGTGAATGTTATCTCAAGCCCTGCCAAAAGATCACATTTTCTATAGAAAGTTGTATAAATTTGTTTTCTGCTTTCTATCACACATCTTTCATCTTTTCCCTTTGATAACAGTAAATTTCTATCTAATAAGTTGTAAAGGGAGAGTTTTGAGAGGCTTCATTTGGGCACTCGAGAAATCCTGCTGAGAAATTCATAAGTATCCCAAAACTTACAAAACAGATTCATTTCTAAGGTCCGCAGATATCCTACATATTAAATTCAACTTAGTCATTCAGTAGTGGATATTTGTGTAGAAAAACATTTAATTTCCCCATGCTTGAATAAAAATGAAAGTAAAGACCAATTAGTGGTAACCAGAAGAGGATTAAAGAGACTATATAATCAGAAGAAAGGAACATTTAATGAAGTATATAGTTAGATTTTTAGTGATGAACTTGATATAATTAATAAGCATCTTGCATTTCACCAATATGCATCTGAAACTGATGCAATATAATATTTTCATAATAATAAAATTTTCATAATAATAAAATTATTTTCAATAAAATAAGCCTGCTTATGATCCAATATTAATACTAGTCTCAATATTCTTAAAAACTTATATGGATGCATGTTTCTGTGTTATGGGGAGTTTGTATGATACAGGAGTTTGTATGATATTGATCAGCATTCTGAATAAAAACTGTTATGTTCTAACCCCACTGTAATTGCTGGTATATTTAAATATTTTGACTTAATTTAAGAACCATGATTTACAGTTATTGATAGTTGATTTTTAGATATATAGTGTTCTACCACCAATCTCACCACTAGTGTCAACTTTCCTCCACCAATGTTACCAAGTTTCTTCTCATAACCCCCTCCCCCAGCCTACCACCTTCACTGGCATGTTTTCATGGAAAGTCCATGAGACATAATACCTCAAGTATTACTGGTATTACAGAAGCATCACTCTCACCTAGGGTTAAGCCTGTTTATAGTTTTCCCACTTCAACACCACTTTCTGTTCAAATTATCATTCTATACCCCATTCCCACAATAATATAGGTGAAGGGATTTTCCTAATACCATAGTTATCATTTATATTTAAGGCTATAATATTGAAACTTAAAACCATTCTATGAGCAGAATATTTTAGAACAAAATATTTTTATGATCTAAACCCTGTACATTGGTATAACATGATCATTTCAGGGACAAGGTGCAAAACAGTACTATTGTTCAAAGGAAACATCACACATTGATAACTATTTTTCCTACAAATTCAAGAAGTGATAAATGTAACTATAAATAATCTCCTTTGTTACTCTAAGTCCTCAAAGAATAAGGAACAATAAAAAATGTAATAAAAATCAAATTTCAAAGTATCATAACTATTAGGGATTAAAGAATGACAAAGGCAGTGAGAAAAAAGGAAAACACATTTGTATAATTTATATCATTACACTGTCCTACGGTAGATGCATGGTATAATTAATTCACCCCATTTCTAGTTGGTGTCCCCTTGTCAATCTTTTCCATTATACCAGGTTTGAGTCCACTCTTCTTCCTTTGTTCCACAATGATAATGGCCCTGAATAAAGCTCCAACACAAAAGACATTTAATATTGGCTTTAATCTGTATAGATTCTTTTTATTCATGTTCAGTTATTCTTTAATATCCCTTTATATAACCATAAAGCCTAGATTTTGACTGAATCTACCAGGAGGAGAAGTAGGTTTTAGGACCAGGAGTTGCTACCAGTGGTAACACTTTCCTCTCACTGCATTTGGAAATGATCTGAGAATGCATTTCTCAGATTCCTCTTGATGGCATTACTGAACCCTCGACCCCACATATGCAAGGTAAATGCTGTATAGCAGAGATGTAAATCCAGTTAATTTTCCAATTTTTTTTCAAAGAGAGGTCAAGGGTTGGAGCCAGAGATACTTGCTGTGCTTTTGCAAAGATCTTCTTTTGATCTTCATCACTGCATAGTCCCCAAGCACCACAAGATTCATCCTGGTAGCCCCAGCACTGCTGGGCCAGAGCACTGAAGGAATGAATAATATCAGTCATTCCAGTATCCCTGAGCCCCTAGAGCACTGCTTAAGAGACCTGAGAAATTATAGATAAGAAAGAGCGCTCACCAGGTTAGAGATGGCATACAAATCACTCTGCATTCTCTTTTCTTTCTTGCAGAGGAAGAAAGTGTGTCCCCCTTTTGTGAGAGGTAAGGGAGTTGCACATAAATTCTCTTCAAGCATTGCTCTTAAGTGAAAACAACATTAGGAGAGGCATGAAGGATGATTGAAGAAGGATGAGTTCTCCAAGCACCTTCCTCAGAAATTACTATTTTTACCAAAAACTAATGAACATCAGGGCTATAGCCACTATTCTATTAATAAAATCTCATATTTTAACCTCTGGGTCTTGCCTCGGGACACATATCATGGATAGAAAATTTTTATCTGAACTTTTACCTAGAATCAGTAACACCATCCAAACTGGGATTTTAGAAAACCCTAGGAAATTAAGTTACATATTTTCTGTGAAAATTCTGGGCCCCCCAAAAAACCTGTGTGGACGTCTGGGAACCAGTGTAATCAAAAGCATTGGAGAGATAAATGTAAGGCATGTACCAGTATCTCTTGCCCAAAGTGGTGACTAATTAGTTTTTCCCCACCCCAAGAGAACAAGCCCATCTTTACCTTCTGTCTCTATTCCTTCAGTATCTAATGAGCTTTGGGAGTCTTGTACTCCCATTCACTGCATGAGTATAACATGCCTGGTGATGAACACAATCATATGGAAAGCTTCATGGAATCATCAGACCTACAACAGCTTCTTGATGTTCATGCAGTGCGGCAGAAGGGTATTACTCCACATGGAAAGGTGAGGGTGTGATGGAGTAGCATAGTGCAGTAGAATGTATCTTGGAGCAGATGCACCCAAAACAATGGAGCAAATTGCAGAAGAAGACTTCTCTGCACATCTCCCAAGGCTAGACTAAGAGGTTTCTTGGCATAGAGAGTAACGATGCTTATTATACTGGACTTTTAACCACTGAGGAGGGAGGGTCCGACCTTTTGTTAGAAACCTGAGTAATTCAGAATTAAATTCTCATCCATAATTGGGGGCAATGAAAATGTGGGTCATTGTCTTTGCCTCTTTCTGGGATATTTAGTGAGCAAAGCTTCCAAGAAGTTCTGAGATATGTAACGTTCTAGGAACTATAAACAGTATTTTGTCGGTCAAAAATGGATCATTAGAAACTCATATATTCCCTTTTGTGTAACAAGCTGTAACAAATGAGTTTATTTCCCTTTTTCTTTAAACTTGTGTTAGTGATTAATTTTTAGAAGAGAATATATGAATATGAAGAATATAAAGAATAATCCATATATGCAGTGACCCCAATCATTATGTGGAGAATATGTGGAGATATTCTGAATATGTAGAGATATTTTGAATCAGGGACCTTGGTCATTTGGAGGATATATTATTGACAATTGGAACAGAGGTTTGGTTTTCAGAATGCCTCATAGGCTGTGCATTTCAGAAGTGACCAGTTTAGTTGCATGAAAGGCACTTATGAGACATGGCCCTTGGTAGGAGAGTGGAAGAAACACATTCTGCTATTTTCATTCCTGATTTGGTGTACTAGAGCAAAACACATTACACATTCACTTAGTATTGACTTAGAGCTGAACATCATTCTCAAAGAGGTTTACTGAAGGGAAGAGAGTAGAAGAAACTTCACTGATTTTTGTGTAATAAGGGCTGGAGTGATAGCACATCAGTAGGGCGTTTGCCTTGCATCCGGCCAATCTGGTTGACCCAGGTTCCATTCCTCCGCCCTCTCGAAGAGCCTGGCAAGCTACTGAGAGTATCTCGCCTGCATGGCAAACCCTGGCAAGCTACCCGTGATGTATTTGATATGCCAAACACAGTAACAACAGGTCTCACAGTGGAGACGTTACTGGGCCCGCTCGAGCAACTCGATGAACAACGGGAGAACTGTGCTACAGTGCTAATGAGGATGCAGGTTTCAAGTTCCCAGAATGTTCTTCCTGAACATTAATCGAAGGACAGAAAACCTGAAGTTCAACTCTCTCCAAAATTTATATGAGAATTTTTAGTGAGTTCATTGATTAAGTATCCTCAAATACAGGTTTAAAATATTTTGTTATAGCATTTGAAAACATTAGGGTTTTGGGATTTGGGTAGATACACTTAATCTACTCAGCTCAACTATATATGCTAGCTTCTCTGAACATCACTAATCTTAATGTATCTTTATGTTCAAGGATAAAGTGGGAGCAACCCAATGACATAATTTTTTATGGAGAACAATAACAATGCTGAGTTTTAGTGAATAGCAGAGCACCAAATATCATAAAAATCCTTAAAATTGGTGATGGTGATTTGACTCTAGAGTTTTTTCATATTTAAAGCTAATATTAAAAGGCAATATTACCATTATTGCTATTTAGTTTATTTTTAAACTTAATTTAATATAAAACATACATTATTTTATAATATACAAACATAAATTATCATTTATGTAGATCAGACTATATTAAAGGTTTACTAATGATTACCTTATATTTAAACATTGAGGAACATATAAAAATGATGTCCATGCCATGAGTACATGACTAATGTACTTCATCTTAATCATCACAAAGGCATAGAGATATTGCCCCTTTTATTTTACCCAGTGAAAGTAAAGTTCACAAAGGTACATTAATTTTTCAAATTAATTTAGATGAGTCACATCTCACAGATAGAACTCAGTATTAAACTCTTATTGGACCCACATCCATCTGATTCAATAACCAACTTGCCTAGACCATTTTGCTCTCCATCTCACCACCTGAACAGGTAATCAGTTCACCTGAATTGTGTTCCCCTAAAATCTCTGTGCTTGCTGTCCCCTTGTGTAGGTTCAGGACAGCAGGCTATCTACTACAGACTGAGACAGAGACATCCATGGAAATGGGGAACAAAACGACTGTCCAAGAATTCACTTTGGAGGGGTTTCCTACTGTTCAGCATCTGGGAAAGGTTCTCTTCCTGGTGCACCTGCTGGCATACCTGGCATCCATGGCAGGCAATGCGGTCATAGTCACCATCACTTGTATTGACTCCAGACTCCAGACACCAATGTACTTTTTCCTCAGCGTTTTCTCCTTCATGGAATGCTGCTTCACAAGTACGGTAATTCCAAAATTGCTGGTCATCTATCTTTTAGGGAGACAAACAATTTCCTTTGTTGCCTGTTTCATACAAGCCTTTGTCTTTACTTTTCTGGGAGCAGCAGGTTTCATTCTTATGGCAGTGATGTCTCTGGATCGGTACATGGCCATTTGCAGGCCTCTGCACTACCCGACTATTATGAACTTGAAAAATTGTGTCATCCTGATTGCTTCCTGCTTTACTCTAGGCTTTATTTCTATCACTGGCATGGTGGTGAAGGTTTCTCAGTTAACCTTCTGTGGTCCCCAAGTCATTCCTCATTTCTTCTGTGATATCGGCCCCCTGATCCATCTCTCCTGTTCTGACACCAGATCTGTTGAAAAGATAACATTTGTCCTTACCTCGAGTGTCCTTTTGACATGCTTCATCATAACTGTCATCGCATACAGCAACATAGTAGTCACAATCATTCGTCTTCCATCAGCCAAGGAAAGACAGAAAGCTTTCTCCACCTGTTCATCTCACCTCATTGTTCTCTCTCTGATGTATGGCAGTTGTTTTTTTATCTATGTGAAGCCAAAGCAAACAAACAGGCTGGAATCCAACAGGGAGGCTGCCCTTGTGAACACAGTGGTGACTCCACTGCTGAACCCCGTCGTCTACACTTTAAGGAACAAGCAGGTTCACCAAGCTCTGAGGGAGAAAATGGGTAGAATAAAAATGTCAACATAAAAATATTACATGGCTTGGTGTGCATTGCTTCAGAGAACTACTTGCCTTCATTTCACTAATGAGGTCCTTCAACAAATTCCTAGTGAAGAGTGTCATCATAGAAATTCCTAGTGAAGAAACTCTTAGAGACCTCTCTTGATTCCTATGGCCAAAAGCCTCTGACTTTTTCAATGTCATATTTTACCATGATATGTGTAATTTTCTTGCCTAAAAATACTTATTTTTGACAGTAATTTTATTTGCAAAATTCTTCACAGAATTTTACTCTTACCTCTAATATAAACCATTTTGTTACAATAGAATACTATGAAAATAGTAAATTTTTTCATTTTCTCTTTCCATATATTTATAGCTCAGCAGAATAATTTTAACAAAGTGCACAAAATTGAAATGATAAAAAATTTATTCACGGTGGATGTTTTGAAATAAATTTTCAAAATAGCAGCAATCTGGGGGTTCACATTCTATATTTAACCAACTAAGATTGTAGTTACCTTTACCTTTGGCTATAACTGTTCTATCAGATATGCCTCTAATTATTTGTTTTAAGCACTAGGTAATTGCACAAGCATATGCTATTTCCGCTTTGGGAAAAAACTAGAATTGTTTTTTGGTCTCTGACCTTCTGCTAAGGAGGGTGAATAAGCACAGCATCTGACAACTGAAATATTACATGATATTATAAACAATTAATACTAGCTCCATTCATTCGGATTAATTATGAATTATGATTGGTTATTATTCTAAGTTTCTTACAGAACATTTGTGTACATCATAGAAATGGAACATATATTCTACATTTGTAACTTTTATTCTAAAAAATAAAGCTTTTAAAGCAATATATGGACTTTATATCACTAGTGAAATTAATTTAAACAAGTCAAATTTTTCCACTCTGAAACAAATACTGCCAACAATTGGTTATGTTCTGATCCTTTGAGCAACAAATCTCAAACCTTAGTTTTTGCATGCAAAGAACAAAGCTGTTCTTTCCAGAATAGAAATGTACATCTTTTATACACTTCTATTTCAACAGAAATTTCTCTAAAACATAACACCATTTATTTGGTTTTTTAACCCAAATCCTGAAGTTAAGCATAAAGACATTTTATGAAATAAGCTCTCTACTCTGATTGGCTAATACTTGACCTTGAAGGTTAGATATAACCTTAATAGTGAAGAATGTCACACAAACTAATATGTTACGATAGACTACACATTACATGATGTAAACATTATATGAAAAAGATGCTGGAAAAACCAAGACCAGAGTAAAAATGTAGGCAGAGTGACTATACTCCCAAAACTCAGGAGAAGAAATAACTAGAGATTGACTATTCAGTGGATACCATATTTACAGTAGTGGTTACATTATGGTTTTATACATATAATTACCTCACTCTCCACAACCAACACCCTCCAAAACTGTTCTTATATCATTTCTAGTCTATCTTTCTTCTCCACATCCTCCTGCTACTTGATAATCTGTTTTTCAAAGGCCAAGTGTTTATCTCATTCAACAATGTCTATTCACTGGTTTTGTTTCTTTGTATACTAGAGATGAGTGAGATCATCCAATAATTAATTGCTCTTTTCTCTCTAACATTTCACTTCACAGGATGCCTTCCAGTTCTTGCAAACTGTAAAATTTCATCTTTTATTGCAGACCTGTAGCACTCCAGTGAGTATACATACCACGACTTCTTTTCATTTGTTTGTTTGGGGGGTCAAACTTGGCATGCTCAGGGGTTACTCCTGGCTCTGTGCTCAGGAATTATTCTTACTGAGGTTTGGGGGACCATATTAAATGCCCAATACCTAACTCAGCTTGGACACATACAAGGCAAAAGCCTTACCGCTGTTCTATCATTTTGTCTCTGTAATACAACATTTTATCTATTCATTTGTCCTTGGATATTTTGGTTTCATATCCTAGCCAGAATACTTACTGCTTCAATAAACGTAGGTGTGTATATAACTTTTTGAATTAGTGTTTTAATATATTTGGTATTAGTGCCAAGATGTGGGTCACAAGGTTATGTGGAAACTTTATTCTTACACTTTAAATAAATCTTCATATTATTTTCCATAACAGCCAAACCAGATGTCATTCCCACCGACACTGAAAGGGGGGTTAAATTTTAACCATATCCACATCAACATTGTTTATTTCCAGTCTTTTTAACATGTCATCACTGTTATGAAATGACATATCACTATCTTTTTGATTTTCATTTCCCTTATAACAAATGATGGTGAACACTTTTCATATGGTTACTGGATGGTCACATTTTTTTTGTAGGGAATATCTATTCATCTCCTCTACCTATTTTTTGAAACTGATTGTATGTTGTTGAAATCTGTGAGTTCTTCATTTTGCATGCAAAAATGAACGTTTGAAATTTTTGCATCTTGTATACTATTTCTTTATCTGATCTATTGTGTGAAAATACTCTTCCTATTTTTTAATGTGTCCTTCTATCTTAGCCAAAGTTTCTTTGCATATAAACTCTTTTTAATTAGATGTAGTTCTGTTTATTTTTATTATCGTTGACAATAAAATAAAATAATTGAATGCATCTTTATGATTTAATAGCCATAATCCAAATTATTTTTTTCTCTACTTAACTCTTTTGCTATTTTAATTACACTTATTATTTCGACAAAAGATGCACCATTATTATTTGGAATTTCCTCCCAACAATCAGAACTGCTGAAAAGGCATTGTGAAATAATTTGTTTTCTGTTGCATGTTATGCAGACCATATGATGTTGCGTGGTCACAATAGCGGCTGCATGATTTTAGATTTCTGATATTTTACTAATTAAGTCTGGAGGGATTTCTGCCAAAAGCCGGATAATTATGAGACTGGTTTGTGTGCCTCTGGGGCCATGCCCATGCCGAGAGAGCCTCTCGTGGGGGGCAACTCACGGCCTCAGTAGGGTGTGAAGGACGTGCCAGTTCCGCCCCCCCATTCCACGAGGCTGCAGTTGCCCTGTCACCGCCCAGCTCATACTTGGCTGTCCAATAAGCTCTGAGGCAGCAGCCACTGTGCTGCTGGGGGGTGGCGGTGGAAGGCAGAAGAGACAGACACCCTTTCCCTCCCCAGTGTGGGGGGGAGGGGCACAGCACTGTACTTTAACTCATAGTCCATTCACATTTCTGCCACAAGTTACTGAGTTCTAAATTAGGTCCGTGTGCCTCTGGGGCCATGGCCATGCCAGAGAGCCACTTGTGGGGGGCAACTCGTGGCCTCAGTAGGGCGTGAAGGCCATAATTCTATCTATGTTTTCCCCAAGGTATTTTAGCAATGTAGGTCTAATATCAATTTTTAATTAATTTTTAATAAATTTATAAGTGCTGCTGTGTTTAAGTTAAATTTCTGTTTTTCCGATGTGACTGTGCAGTTTTCCCAACTCAATTTTCTGAAGATACTTTCCTTGCCCCACTTCATGCACTCAGCCTCTTTGTCATATATTAACTGTCAATAAATCTGAGGGTTTGTCTCTGGGTTGTTGTATTCCACTGGGCTGAAAAAGATATCTTTATAATAGTACCACATGGTTTTGATTACTATAGCTTTATATTGTATTATAAGCCAGGAAATGTGATACTTTCCTGCTTCGTTTTCCTCTCAGAATTGCTTTGGCTCTTTGGAAAGTTTTATGATTACATACAAAGTTTAGTAGTGTTTGTCCTTTGTCTTTGAAGAATATATTCATAATTTAATAGAAATTGCATTAGTATGTATAATGCTTTGGGTAGGATGCTTATTTAGACAATGTTAATTCTTCTAGTCCATGAACATGGAATATTTTTCTCATTTTCTGATACAATAACAATGAAATATCTGAAGAAGAAAAAAAGGTAAACAATGCTATTCACTATAGTAATTTTCAAAACTGAATCACCTTGAGTTACAAAGATACTGATGATTGAGTTTCAGGAATACAATATTCCAAGACCAATCCCTGCACTACTGTCCTACCTAGTACCTTCCTTCCCCTACCTTCCACCAAAGTCCCAGTTTCCCTCCCACCCACAGTCCCTGCTCTGTGGCTGACACTTTTGCCCTCAACTATTTTCCTAATCTTCCCATCCTAACTTATGACCCTGATGCCCACAAGAGAATATCAAACTTCACTCATTAATAAATGTAATAATTAATACTTTAATAAAATAAATTAAGTGTGTAAGAACAGAAATATCTCACATTTATGAATCATAATAATTAATATTCTTAAGTGTAAATATTGCTTAAAATATCTAGATATTTATTAAAATTCATATAAAATTTTCTTAGGGTACAGTTTTTCAACAACATGCTCAGACACTTTGTGCACCAGGTCTGGGCAGACGTGGGGCAAAGGATGGTGGGCATGCAGAGAAACTAGTCCAGGAGACAGCTGATGGCTGTTCACTTTATTGCCAAAAACATGTACATTTTATAAAGGGTCTCAGCTTAAGAGGATGGTCCAGTCAGATGAAGTTTAGCATTACTGACCTATCACCTTTCCAACTCTGCTTTGCCCTGGCCCAATCCCAAATAGGCTAGATGCTGCAGTTAGAAATGACTTGGTAAGTGTAGGTGACAATTCCTGGGGAGTTGGGTGAGACTCAATGCTGCATATTTGGTGCTTGTAAAATGAGCCCAGACACTCTCTTCTGGATCTCTATGCAGGCATAGGTCTTATCTGCTAAGCAGGAATAGATCTTATCTGCTCTGGTACCTGCTGCCATGCTCCACAAAAATTAATACCACTTTTTATAGAAATAGAAAAAGTCTTTAGATCTGTGTGGAATAATCAAAGACCCTAATTCTATGGAAAGGATCAAAGCAATTCTATGAAAGACAAATCCTGAAGACCCCATACTACCTGATTTCAAATTATAAATATACTTAAAACTCTATGTACTGGTTTATAAAAAGGCAGATAGACCCATAGAACTTAGCTGAAAGCCTAGAAACTATCTCATGTATATCAATATTTTACCAGAC